AGTCCCACGTCGGGCTCCCGGTGCATGGAGCCTGCTTCTCCCTCTGCCTGGGTCTCTGCCTCTCTCTCTCTCATTCTACGTGACTATCATAAATAAATAAAAATTTAAAAAAAATTTAAAAAAAGTCTCCTTAGCAAAATTAAAATAGGGTGATTTGGTTTTGACTTCGGTTCTTCACTTCATTCTTAGAGCACAGTGCATAGCATGTGGAATTGATCCAAAATGAATTTGAGAGTGAGAAAGTAAGGACTGCAGGTGGGATGCAGGAGATGACAGGAGAGAAGAAAGGTAGACAGCGGCAGACAGGGAACAGTGGAAGATTATCAGATACTATTGGTGCTCTTAACAAAATTGTTCTAGAAAAAATGTTAGAAAATGTCTTTGTGCATACAATATAAGGTAGATTAATTTATGATCTGAATGTCTGCAAAGGAATAGGACTTAATAGTTTTCTTTTTCTGACACTAATTATATAGATGTACACGCAAACGTATATAGGTAAGAACATAAAAAGACAGCACATACATGGACATGCCATCTGGGTGCACGTACATGCCTGCGTGTGCCTTAAATAAATGAATCCATGTATAAAGGAACTATGATATAATACTAATTAACAGAACTGACTCTTCTTCCTCTCGAGTGTACTCCAAGTACAAACTAGAGCCTATTATTTTAAATTGTGGGGAAATTAAGCAGTGCATAGATACAAGAAAAGATAGTAGAAACGAGAAGCTAACCATAACCGAACAGTAGATGACTGATTATTCTGGGGACATCAGGTCCTCATTTGCTTTCCCTTATTTAGCTCGTGAGAAAATAGGGCATAAAATTAACCTATCCGAGGCATGGAACCATCCCTGCCCAACTGAATGGGCAACTAATCCAAAAGGAAAACAACCATTACTTATACAACCATAATGTAGATGCAACATGGCATATAAATCAGTAACTCTTGTATTGCAAAACAGACAAATAGATTAATGCATGTTGCAAAGGATGGGTGAAGAGATCGATTAGGTTACTGATTCAGACCATGAACTTTCTCTCAATATACTGCATTTAACTTTTAAATAAGGTTTAGGAGAACCTGTAACATTTTGCTCACTGACAGAGCTATATTTTACTTAGGGCAGAAATTGGCTAGTCTATAAAAATTAAATTATGCCCCTTTCACTGTATCTAGTCAAGAGGAAAAACTCTAATTACAAGATTGCACTGTCAAACAAATGCAAATTCACATGCTTTATATCCTGGTTTAAAAATTCATATGGGGGGAGCTTCAATTCTGAAACGAGAATCAATATTTGAAATATTTTTCAGAGTGCAGTGATAAGCCAGGGCAAAAGAAATGTCATTATCAAGGGTGCTGGTAAGTAGATGCTAACTCATTAAGAGCAGAACTTGAGAGCACAAGTCATTTGTTATGCAAACATTTAAATATCAATTAGTAAGGACAATGAAAGAAAGCTTTCCTTCCCCCACAGTCCAGTGCCTTATTACTCTAGAAATGACCAAGGGGAAAAAGAGCAGTGGAAAAAAAAATCTCCGCACCTAATAGGAATGTCACTCTGGGGAATAGGTAAAGGTTAATTTTAAATGTACTTCCCAATTGAAAATTAAATGTACCTGCCTCAAAATTCATAAGAGCTGAGTTTGCAGGCTTAATCCAGAAAGGACTAACTAAAGGCCTGAGTATATTGCATCACTGGTATTTTTTTGGAAAGAGAATGCTTCTCATCACTGCTTAATGTCAAATATGCTTGGTTCATTACAATCTCTTATTCTGTTAAAAACTGTGCTTTTCCTAGACCTATGAAAACGGCCAGTCCACAGAACACTAGGCTTTAAAAATCCTACTGGTTGGTTCTCATCTTCATTTAAGATCCATTTCGTGGCCTGTCCAGTCAACCAGTTCACTAAGCCTGTCAGGTGAATATGGTGGACATGAAGACCATCTAAATCTTTAGCACTCGGCCTAAATTATCCTTCCGGGCAAACCTCAGTGGCATGTTTTACTATAGAAGGTGCTGCTTCAGGAAAGCAGGGGCCTCTTGGTAACAGTCGACCAGTGGACATGGACCAGATCTGTAACTTTTCTGGCCCCTCGATTCTTCCTCTAGAATACAAAAAAGTTGGTCCAGACTCAGGGCACCCCAGAGTCACTTGGGGAGACCCACAGCTGGGTATTTCACAGACTTAGTGAACTGGCTTCTTCAAGGGTGAGGGGAGGCATGTGGATTTCAACAAAACTTCCAGGACAATTCTGATGTGCACCCTTAATTCTGTGTCACTGGGACCTTTTAGTTCTAATGCACTAAGATTCTCAGAATAAGAGGTTATTGGTCCAATGAAAATAATTCTGACTTCGGTTCCTAAGGGTATGACGTAACAGGTGTGACTTTCTTTCCCCAAAGTGGAAAAGCTAACCCTGCAAACACTGGTGGGTCGGGGCCTAAGGAAACAAAGGCTGCAAAAGAAGACTACCAGATTTCCTGAGATGCTCCACACGAAGCACCCAGAAAAGTACGGGCTGTGTAGGGCACGCACGCTCTTCGGACTGTGATGACTGTACTACCTGTGGTCACTTCACAGTCAAATCTGAGTTTGGCTCTCCATCCCTGCTAGCTCGAGAAGGGTTGAGAGCCACTTAAATTGATTGGTCTGACAACTACTTGGAGATGAAAATGGAAGTGCCTTGGAAGGATCACACTCCCAAACACTGTTCTTTTGATGCAGGAACATGCATTTGGCTGACTTCTACTGAATTCAGGCTTAAAATCTGTGTCCCTCCCCTTATAACAGGTTTTTCCGTTGAGTCCGTCAACTGTTTGTTTTTCAGACTTCACAACTGGTGTTGCTTTATTATTTCACTCTCTGGTCCAGGACACATGCCTGAGGGAACTGAGTTTGGAGAGAAGGAGCCCACCTCAATCTAACTAATAGCAACTTCAGGCCTGGCACTTAGAGACTATGCTAAAGGGTTCCCATAGATAACATTGGCATTATGATGCCGGCTTTGCCTTTCTTACAGCATTGTTTGGAGCAGAGAATAGAGCAAGAGGAAAAACAGCACTTTGAAAATGGAATGTGTGATATTTATCTTACATACACTTCTAGGAAGAAGTAGCTCTCTGAAAAAGGACACCTCATCTGGCTGTAGTTTGGTTCATATCTTTCTTGTCTCAAACATATCCCAGCTTATAAAACACAATACCTAGATAAGCAGTGGCCTAGAGGATCCCAAGAAAGTTCCTAATGTGTCCACAGTTTATCCCCCCCACCCATTTTTTTTTTCTGGCTCTAAACTACCACCTGGAAGAAAGCTGCAAATATTTGGAAGAAAACAAAAACAAAACACTACAGTATTCAGAGGGATTCCAACTAAAATCAAAGCAGTTCCTCTAGTAGGAGGGCAGAGTTTTGCTCAGGTAAAATGCTCAGGAAGGCAACACAAGGAGATTAGAAACCATTATCAAAATCATAGATATCAATCTTAGCTACAAAATCGTCACTAAATTTTGTTTTGCTTTTGTGATAGCCCCAATCCCAGGACAAATGACAAAACAACAGTTGCGGTTTTTCTTGGGACACGTTATTCTTGTGAGCAGTTATGTCTCAGGCTTCCCCAAAGAGCGATTTGGGTGGAAGGAAACCATACCTAATGACCTATAAAGACCAGCTTTTAAAACTGTGCATGTGGGTGGCCCTGGTGGCGCAGCGGCTTGGCGCCGCCTGCAGCCTGAGGTGTGATCCTGGAGACTGGGGATCAAGTCCCATGTCGAGCTCCCTGCATGGAGCCTGCTTCTCCCTCTGCCTGTGTCTCTGCCTCTTTCTGTGTCTCTCATGAATAAATAAATAAAATCTTAAAAAAAAAATAAAATAAAAAAAATAAAATAAAACTGTGCATGTAAAACATCATGGCACAGTGATGAGCTAGCTACCTGATCCTCCAATATCCCTGTGGTTGGCAACAGGGCATTTCCAGGCCCTTCTCTGAGAAGAAACTACTTTTCCAAGGTGCTGCCTTTAAAACTGGAGCCCTGGCATTCATTTGCTAGTGGATTAAGAGAATCCCTTCCCAGATTTAATCCCTTCAACCAAAAGCTCTGTGGGCCCCTACAGTTCAGCAGACTAAAGGGGAGCAGAATTTTGGCTCAATCCACACCATTCACCACAAGATGCTATTTCCCATACGTTTATTATCCTGAAAATGGCAAGGTCTCTGTTGATGGATTTGACCTTGGAATGGAAGCTGGAGTTCCACCCATTTCCCCAAAGGTGTACTTGTGGGAGGACTCTGATTTCTGGTGAGACCATGGGGAGGTGGACCTGGGGAGTTACAGGAAGTGGACAGTAAGACGACTGGGGTCAGAGGGAGTAAGTGAGGTTTCCCCTCACTAGACCCGCTTCCGCTCTGCATAAAGCCCAGCACCTCTCATCACCTAAGCTTGTGGGGCTGGAAACTACATTCCTCTGAACAATCTTGGCAATTTGTGCCTGAAATTTGATGCAGTAGCTCTAAAATTAAATAAAGATCCTGTAGCGTTCTTCTAAGAAATATGGCGTGGCTCTGTGACAAAACACATTTTTCAAGATCTGACCTCTGGGAACTTCAACTAGCTTCATATTTCAGGCTGACACTGCTCACAGGCTACTGTCTAGTAGCCCAAGCGGAGCTGGTTATCCATATATTTTCCAGTCTCCTGATCAGCTTTTTAGCAGAGGGAGGTGAGGGGAGTAAATAAAAAGAGGAGAGCCACTAATTTAAATGCACTTCCCCTCCCGAGTCCCTTGGGGAGAAGCCCTGGTAATTAACTCTAATGAGATTAAAGTAACTCGAACTCTTCATTTTGCCAGCACTGTAAAAGTGAATCTGCGATAAGCGGCGTGTATGCATTAAATCACAGTCAGTCCCCTCCCCGGCAAGGAGGTGCCCTCCCTCCCCAAGTCCTACCGCGGGCCCGCGCGGGCCTCGGAGGGCGCTACCGGGGTCTCACCCGCGCTCTGCTCCATCACTTCTTTCTGGCACATGTCTTGAACGTTGACCGTGCAATTCACGATGAACTCGGGGGAGGAGCAGTCGTTGTTCAGCTGGAATTCTTCACACTGGTAACACTGGATTTGCAGCGCAGAGCCTGCGGGGACAGACGCAGTCGGGCTCAGACGCAGCCCCCACGGAGACCCCTCGGGAATCGGCGACCCTCCCGGGCCCCAGCCCGCCACGCACGGATCCCGACCCCCGGGGGGCTTGGCTCGCGCCCCGGGGCCTCCAACTACGGCGGCGGCGGCGGCTGCAAACGACGGGGGCGGCGCGGCCGCCGAGGGTCCCGCAGCAGCCCGACACCCCGACACCCCGGGGGCCGTCCCCCACCACACCCGGCTTGGCTCCCCCCCCCCCACGCAAGTTGAAAGGGCCGGAGCACAAGGCGAGAGTGAAGTGGCTCCAGAGACTTGCTTCCGCCCCAACCTACAGCGAAGGATTTGCCTAATTGTTAATTGGCTACAAATCACTTAATTGCTATTTTGGCGCCGCTCACGACTGCGTTCGCAGACGCCTCCTCGGTTCTGAGGCTCGTCGCCAGCGTCCCCGTGCCGCGGCTCCGAGCACCCTCCGCGAGCGCCCCGGAGCCCCGAGCCCCCGAGCCCGCGCCGGCCGCCAGGAGCTGCTGCGCCTCGAGCCCCCGACCCTTCGCGGGACGGTCCCCGCAGCGGCAGGGGGGTCCCAGCCCCGGCCAGGGGCGACTGCGCGCAGCCCGAGCCGCGACGCCACAACCATTTGGTCCTGGCTCTCGGGGCAACCGCTTGGCGGGGGTCCGCGGTCGGGGTCCGAGAGCCGCTCGCGTAACGGAGGAGTGAGCGGTTCGGCCCCGCTCATCGCCCCAGCCCGGTCCCCCTGCTCGGGTCTGGACCGAACTACCCCCGCCGGCGGACAGACCGCCGCGGAGCCCGCGCCTCCTCGCGCCCGCACGCCGCCGCGCGCCCTGGGCGCAGCACCCCCGCCCCGCCCCGCCCCGGCGCGCCCCGGACCCCGCTGCGCAGCCCGTCGCTCACCTGGCCGCGGCGTCCGGTACCCCGGCGGGGTCGGGGCTTCGCCGCCCCCCGCCTCCGCGACGCCGCACCCCGCTCAGACCCCCCGGTCCCCGGCCCCGCTGCCTCTCCCGACCACGCAGCCGAGCCTCCGCAGCTCGGGTCCCGCACAGCGCCGCCCCCGCCGCTCCGCCTGCAGCGCGGGACGTGGACGCTTCGCCTTCCAGCGCCTCGGGGCGCCCCGCCGGGCAACCCCCGCGCAGCACGGCCCCGGAGGTGGGTGCCCGGGCGGCGAAGGGCGGGCGGGGTGCGCGCGCCTGGCGGGGCCCCGGCCCCGGCGTCCTCCTACCTTGGAGCAAGAACAATCCGCAAAAAGTTGCTGCGATGCCGAGGACCCACATCCTCCCGGAGCCGCGGAGCCGGGGAGCCGGAGGAGGGCGGGCGCATCAGAGGCGGCGAGCGCGGCGGAGGCTGCCCGGGCCGCAGCGGCTGTGGCTGCCGAGGCTGCTGGGGCCCGCGCTCCCGTCGCCGAGGCCACCGCCGCCGCCAAGAGGAGCCGCAGGTGCCGCCGGCGGCGCCAGCATCGCCCGCGCCCGGGCTCCCGGCTGCGGGGCGCTCTCTTCCCGCCGGCGCTCCCGGAGTTGGCGGCTGACACTGGAGGAACTACTGGCGAGCCGGAGCACCCAAAAAAGTCTCGCCTCTTCTCCCCACCTCCCACTCCAGGCACCACGTGACGGCTGCCGAGTTGGGGCGGGGGTGGCGGGCGCGGAAGGCTGGGACCGTCTTTTCGCGTCCCCACCCCCTCCCATCGCCCTGGTCTCCCGCCCCCGCACGTCCCCGGGACCGGGACGCCGCGGGGAGACGGAGGGCGTCGTTTCCCGGGGCCCGAGGGTGCAGGCGGGGCGGGGGGGGGGGGCGCAGCAGGTGCGGCGGGGCCGGCCGGGCGCAGACCGCTGGGCGCGGGGGTGGGGAGGCTGCGCGCTCGGCCGCGCCCCGCTGCCGGGGTCCCCGGGCTGCCACCGGCCGGGGACGGCGCGGGCGGGCAGCGGGGCCGGGGCCGAGGGCCGCCGGCTGGAGGGCCGCGCTCCTGTGCGCCTGGCAAACTGCACACCTGCCGGCGCCCTGGGGTGGCCCGCGCAGCTGCGCCTCTTTCCCCCCGGCCCCGGGAGGCCCCGGGTTCAGTCCAGGCTTGGCCGCAGCGGGGGGTGGTGCCGAGGCCCCTGCCCGACGGGCGCCGTCACCCCCGGGCAGCCCTGCTCCAGCTGCCGGCGCGCGCGGCAAGAGGGCGCAGCGACCCCGCGACGGTCGCCCGGCCTCGGACAGGGCGGCCCCCGGGGACAAGTGTCTCGAGTTCCCCCCCGAAGGCAAATCGGGGTGAAGAAGGGGATCGCTCTCCTCGGTCCCTTTGCTCCGAAAGGCCGGGCATCTTCATCCTGCTGTCACCGAAGTCCCGCGTTATTGGTACCAACGCCGGGTCCTCTCCGCTGCGCGCCTTCCCAGCCCGGGACTCCGGCTTAGGCTGCCCCGGTCCCCTCCCCATGCCCCCTCCCCGCAGGCAAGCGACCCACCTTGAGTCCTCCGGGGATGCGCAGGTGCGAAGTTCGCCTTCCCACCTGCCGAGCCTGGCAGCAGGTGGAGCGGGAGCCTCGGCGCCGCCGCCCCCCGCCCCGCTCGGCGCCCGCCCTCTCGCCGCCCCTCCCCCAGTCCCGGTGCAAATAGCTTCCCGAGCTCTGCCCCCCTTCACCCTCCCACGCCTGGGTCACCCCCTGGAGGAAGCTCTCCCTGGCCAGGGCGCTGATTGTTTATTTCCCTATCCTGCCGGCAGAGCGGGTCTGGAAATGGGCTTAAATGACTTTCTTGTAATTCCTCTGCAGAGATCCTTCCCCATCTGCCTCAGGCTCCTTCTGTCCCTTTGGCCCCCTCTTTCTTTCATTTTTAGTTGGTTAACCCCTCGGGGAGACTGAATGCTTTGACCATTACCCGCTTGCCTGCAGACTCTGATCTTACAATTGGCTGAATTACTATCTCTGGAGCAAAGCGGCCGGTTTATTTATTCCTTCCTGGAATTGATTGTTGTAGCACGTGTGAGATTCAAAGAACTGGGCCAAAGGGTTCTTGAACAACTTCTTTTAGGATTTCAGAGGGTGCGCCGGTGATAGGACTTTTATTCAGAAATGAAACAAAAGAATTTTCAGAAGTCTGAAAGACAGTGAGACTTTACATAATTTTCATTTAACAAAATTCAATATAACAAATTGCACAAATTAACCAAATAACACTGATTATACAATGCTCTTTGAACAAACGAGTGTGTACTGAAGTAACCATATAGATCCTAAAAATATGTCTATTGGGCCTAGTTTACAAGCTCCTGTACAAAAGCAATTATAAATAGTTCACATCTAGAAAAAATACAAATAACCTTTAAAATAGAATTTATCCTCACATATAAACAGACTTTGTAGAAAAAAGAAGGATCTTAAAAAGTAAGAATTTTTTTTGTAGCACCAACCATTCATTTTATTTTTGAAAAAGTGAACATTACAGATAGGAATTTGCTTTCATTTCTAGATTGCCCACATTGTAATAGAAAAAGTAGGAAGATAAAAATCAACAAATACTGTTCAGAATCCTAGGCAAGCACTAAGTAGAAGAGGATGTAAGGAAATGTTTGGAGGGAAAATCTGCTTTTGAAAATAGAATTAGGTCACTTCCGATCCACTTCTCTTCCCGTCAATGTCACACTTTGAGTACCTGTTACATTTTTCAGTGGAAGCAGAATTATACTTACTACTAGAACCTGAATCTCTCTGGCAACTATTTCGAAATTGCACTGGAATTAAAGTTTGTATCACATTGAGATTGTGGGTTGGGGATGACCATGAGCCCTCTGGTTTTTGGCAGGCCCTGTCTCAGCTTTACAGAGTGTACCCACGAACAATTTGAGTACTACGAAAGTGAAGTCAACAAACACCCCTAGCTGGAATTTTTTAAAAATATATTATCAACTTCTAACACTTAGTACGTCATTTCAAGAGCATGGCACGGATTCAACTTATTGCTGTCTTTTTTTTTCTTTTTGCTACAAATATAATTTCTCTTCCAAAAATTTACAACTTCTGTACAAGTATTCAAAAAAGTGCAAAATTAAGACTTCTGTATTGTGGGTGTGTTTACAGTTCATCCTCATGACACACAACAAATGGAGACTATCTTTATTGCCCTGTCAGAGAAGGAAGCTCCAGTGGGTTGTTTCTTGTGAATCTGACAATGGAGTCTCTGGTGTTGCCAGGGTTTATTGTTTGTTGCTGTCTCTATGCCCCCCCCAACACTCCCTCCCCATCCCTCTGTTGCTTAAGTGCTCCATTTTCAGCTCACTAAGAAAAAAAAAAAAAAGGTCCTTTATACATCATTTGAACCCTGACTTGCACAGGAAGAGAAGCTATCATATAAAGAATCACTCAGTGATTCCAAATTGTCTACCCCAGGCCTGTCTGAACTACTCAAAGATGCCTCTTCATTTTTTTCTTTTTCTTCCTTTTGTCCTTCGACCTTGTTCAGAGAGTTCTCTCTCTCTAGCAAAATCATAGTTTTGCTGTTATATTTATTGAATGACTCCAGGGAAATTTTGGATAATCTATTCTCAGGATCTTCTTTTGTTTCCTCAACTTGTTTCAATTTCTGCAATAAAAAGACAAAAATATTAGAGACATATTTCTTTGGAAAATCAAGTTATTCTATCCAATATTCAATTATTGTCTGCGTAATGTGCAGTTTAAAGGGATAGAGAGAACCTACAAGTCTTTAACAATCGTCTAGTATAATTAAAGGTAATAATAAAGCCAATTTTAGGGATAAATCAAGACTTTATTCATTTTACTGAGATAAATAGGTCTCGATTTGCAAACCAGTAAAGTGCCACTTAATTTCATTTTAAATGGATCTACTTGAAATTTGTTCAGGTAAAATGCCTTATATATCTTCATCAAAGTTTCAAACTTCTCTCTTTTCTTACTAAGTATTACTAGTTGTCTTATTTCTAAATATAGATAAGGATTGAATTTCAGCCAGTAGTTGGGGTTGTACAGGGAGAAGAAGGCATATAATCCTTAAATTGCCATGAAATTTCAATACCCTTTAGACTTGTCAGAAGCATTGTCATCCTTCTTTTTTGTCCCTTTACGAGTCTTAAGATATTTGAAAGCGATCTCCAGGTCTGTGGGTCTAGATTCCAGAAAGCCCAAGGGCTTAAAAAACCATAATAACACTTCTGCCCATTAGTAACCTCTCCCCTCCAGGAGGCTCCAGTAATACCAATTAGGGGTTGTCTCTAGGACTTTATAAAACACTGCAGTCATATTCAATTATTCAATTATTGTAGGTAAACTCTGTAAACCAATGCATTTTCCAACTTCTGTTCTCTTTCGGGCAAAAATTCTATCCAAACACTGGGAAGAAGTAGGGACAGGGGCTTAGAGGTAATGATAGCTTCCGTTTAATAAGCATCCACCATGTAAAACTCACTGAATACATATTCTTTGGGAGCATTTTCACAGAGGACTTGCAAGTTACACATCCTCATTTTAAAGAAGAAATCAAGGCTCAGAGTGACAGAGTTATTTGGCCAAGGTCACTCAGCAAGTGACAGAGAACAGGATTTGAATTCCAAGCTGCTGGCTGCCTTCCATGCTCTTGTTCCTACTAAACCATGCTCTTATATAATAAAAGACAAGATGTCCTATTTTTTTTTTCATTTTGCCACCCAAATATTCCACTTAAATAATTTACCAAACCGTCTCTATTACTATTGCCCCGGGCTCTGACAAATGCATTTCTGTTCCCCAACCCACCCCGTACATTGTTACGCTGGATGCACAAAGGTACAATGAAGAAACTGTGTTTTGATCCAGGGAACAACACACACAGCCCAAGCCTATGATTCTCATATGCTAAATATTTAATAGGGAAAAGAAAAAGAGATGGCACTGGATGGCTTTGGCGTCCCAAGAGCAGACTGAGAGACAGTTTCTCTTTCCGTTATGGAAATGGCATAATTCTGTAAGAATAGTTGAAAATCATCCTTGAAGTGGTGCTTATGTCATTACACTGTTGATATCAAGGAGAACTACTATTCACAGAGTTAATTTTCAACCTCAGATGGCTGCCTTGAAACCAGAGGCAAGAACAGATTTCTAGGTGCTTCCAGGAAAGTGGCTCCATAATTAGGAATAACACCATGCAAAAGCCCCTTTTCATGCATGCCATGCCAAGTTTTAGACATTTCTTAAAAAAAGATTTAATTGAGAGAGAGAGAACAAGGGGCAGGGAAAGATAATCTTTTTTTTTAAAAGATTTTATTTATTTTTTCATGATACACACACACACACACACACACACAGGCAGAGACACAGGCAGAGGGAGAAGCAGGCTCCATGCAGGGAGCCCAATGTGGGACTCAATCCCGGGACTCCAGGATCATGCCCTGAGCCAAAGGCAGGCGACAAACCACCGAGCCACCCAGGGATCCCCAAGAAAGAGAATCTTAAGCAGACCTTGCCCTGAGTGCAGAACCCAACTTGGGGCTTGAACTCAGCACCCTGAGATCACAACCTGAGCTGAAACCAAGTGGGTCACT